CAAATGCAGCGCGTCCAAAAGACGATGAACTTCGCCGCCAGACTTGTGACCGGGACGCGACGGTCCGAGCATATATCGCCGGCGTTGGAGTCGCTTGGTTGGGAGAGGGTGGATGTGATGCTGCGCCGCCATGATCATGTTCACGTCCAGAGAGCCCTGTATAATGACCAATGTCCCCCAGCGATGTCGGCCATGTTCACCCGCCGGGTCGAAGTGTCGTCACGTGACACTCGCGCGGTAGCAGCCGGGAAGTTTCAGCTCCCGAAGTGGCGGCTCGCAAGAACTCAGCGGGAGTTTGCATATAGAGCGGCAGCATCGTGGAATGCGAAGGACACCGCCACAGGCACCTGATTTTAGAATGTCAACCTGCTGATGTCAACTTCCTACATGCGGATGATGCGTTCGCGAGTGTTTTAAAGGTAGTGTGCCAGCTTTCTTGGACCATATGGAGTTAATGACCCGGATAAGGAGAACCGGATTTTTAGAACTTATCAATACCTTCAAAACTTATGGAAACGTCTTAAATTCTTCAAATTTTGAGTACCCCAGTGCGAAATTCGCCCCGACGGGTTGTCGGTCGTACCCCAACCACATTTCACACCACTATGAACAATAAATGCACACACTAAAATCGCTATTACCGATAGGCTCATCCAATCAAGTTTCGATAAACCCGTTCATCATCATCTCCTGCGGTTTCGAACACGCCTGTTAGGTGGCTTCTGATGCTCGTCGAGGTCGGAATTTCCAAATACGCGTGGTGCGTCGGGCCGCGCGCTCTGACTTCGGCCAAGAAAAATGCGTCAGCTGATCATTGTCATTTCTGCCACTTGCGTGTGGTGTAATGGGGTCATAACTTAAGAGACGGCTGTTTCATATCAATTATTTTACATAAAATCATATTTCAAACCACAAATTAATGTTCGACAGCCAAATTTAAGAAACAATACCAATACAGGCTTACAGTTTAAGGCTCGACATTGTGTTGTCTACGATTAGACAGCTGATAACTCATTCCCGTACGTCGTATGGTCGTAACAATATAATGACCTTTGCTTATTGTCACAAGTGCGCCGCATTCGCGATTGTTGCCCGACGCCTGTTTGCAGGTGAGCCCACTACAGTTGTTATACATATCTAAAAACCGATAAACTTTTAGCGAAAAAGGCACTATTCCAGGCCCATTTTTGATTTTTTTGCGATATTAGGTAAAAACAGAAGCTTCTTATCCTAGGAAAAATAAAACGGGAAATCTTTCAAAGGTGGCACACTACCTTTAATGTAATCGTCGATGTGTTTTAACGTAGCTTTTGCCATTGTATCAGTATCATATATTTTTAATTGGGTCTCATTTAGCTCTTATGTCACCATGTCACATTCCTGACCGGATTCTTAATACCTACCCCGTGGAAGAATTCTAATAAATGACTTTGACTTTGACTTCGACACTTGACTTTTTAAGAACACTTTAAGCACTCACCTGAACCTTCTCGTACGCGCTTTCGTTTGCCGTCTTCGGTGTATGTATTGGCCTAGCAGGGGATGGGGGGTAATATTTACCCTCCAGCGCAGCGCGGGCTAACAGTAACACAGATGCACGAAAAATGGCACAATAGTGATGGTAAACTATGGAACATATTTTTGACTTCAAATTTCGTGCTGCTCCACACAACCCCTTTCAAATAGCTAGTGGGGTGCACACAGGAAAACACACGAGGGCAGCTTCGCCTTGTCAGGGATTCGCTTTCCTTCCCGCGCTATCACTTCCACATAACATACTCGTAAATACACAAGTCTAACCCGCGCCCCACTGCACTGGGGGGGGGGGGGGGCTATTCATAGCCCCCTCCCGTTTTTCTGCAATAATTTCCAAACCACTTGACGTATCGACGCCAAACTTTCAGTACCTTCGGCTGCATCAATTTGACACCTTGTGTCAACATTTGAACTTCGTAGCTACCATAGGTCGGCCGGAAATGACGTCAGAGTGACGTCATGTTCGGCCGATTTCGACGCAAAACATGGAACCGCGGCAATCGCTCCCTAGAGCTCAGTTTTTAAACTAGATCCAATTTCTTTGCAAGAAAAGACTTAGAATTGACTGCGCTATCAAACTGCTATCTCGGATTTTCAAAATTGAAAATTTTGAAAATTTTATACACAGATAACAGTAGTACTACTGTTATCTGTGTTTAATGTAATAATATTCAAAATTTATATTTTTATATTTTTTCCAATTTTTTTTTGACTTTTCAAAAAACCGGAATATATGTGACAGAACGCATGCTTATGAATAACTCTAGCAAGTTTAAGCTAAATATCTTTAAAAATGGCCAAGTTATACGCATTATTGCAAAAAAAAATCACAATTATTAATTTTTCAAATTAATTTTTCAGTACGTATTTGACATCGAACACCAATATAAATAGCACCATGGTGTTCCTGAGCTCAAACTGCATCCAATAGACACCTTTTTTTGTTGAAAAATTTTAACTTCAAAATTTGACCTTTTTTGACCTGAAAGTGACCTGACCTAAGCTAAACTCGACTCAAAATGACCTCGAATGACACAGACGACATCAAATTCGAAATATATGACCTAAATGGACCATAAAACATGTGTCAGGTGACCGACGCATGACATAATATTTCCGTGACCTGTGATGACCTGACCCTGACCTGAAAATCAAAGTACAAGCTTGGTACCCTCAAGGTATCTAGAGCATCTGTTCACGAGTGTGTAAACCAAAAATGAGCCTGATCTGACTTGTAAGACGGCGGCCAGAGCCCAAAATGTGAACAAGCCAAAATGCTAATCATTTTTACTTTGACCTGACCTCAGACCTGTGACGTCATCGGTGACCTCGAGGTCAATGAAATTAGGTTTCGCTCGACAGTTTTTCCGGGGCTATCAGACGCCGTTTGAATTTTGACGATCGGCCCAGTAGTTTCGGAGTTAGGATGGGGGGGCTATGGAGAGCCCCCCCCCCCCCCCCCCCAGTAGGGCGTGTTATACGCAGACCCCAGTGCACAGTGGGCGATCCGGCCGATGTAGCCTCGCGAAACCTATCGGTATTCATAACATCCATGTTTTTGAAGCTAGAACCACAATATTTAGGAGCAACCTTCTTGAATATCCAATGAGCATATGTTTTACATAAGGACTATCTCTTATAGGATTTGTGCTCTGTGGCGAGCTTGCAATTTGCCTAATTGCTGCTCGAATAACGCAATACGCATGAATACTTTTGAGGGTAGGTCGAAATTTATGACGATATGAGCTGGGTAGGACATTGAAATGGTGTGTACCTCCATAGAACATTGCTTTCAAACCAATTTTTTATTCAAACGATCATGCCCTACCAATTTATACATATCATGAAACAGCGTAAATCTCGTCCGGCAAGGCCCTATTTCATAACGTGACCCAAGCAGCGGGTTTGGTTTTTGGTAAATAACTTCGCAAAAAAAAATGGCCGAAGAACCACGATTTTGACATTGTCGTGTTCGCCTTGCTCAGGCGCGTCGAATGGCATACCGACTTTTGTTTAAGTGAGGCCACCGTAAGGTCAACCTGACCTTGACCTCGAGTCAAGGTCAGGTCAGAGGTCTTCAAATCACGAAGTTGGTCAAAGGAGGTCATATTGCATATCATTCGATTCAGCAGGTCTTCCGGAGTCCATTGGTGACCTTGTCGACTCTCTAGCTCAATTTGATTGGGAGTTATTGACGAAAAACTCGTATGACCCTAGTGACGTCATAAATGACGTCATGCAAGGTCAACAATGCAAAAATGCAGCATCAGATCTTGCAAGGAGTGCATGAAGTAACGATTCCATGTATTTGAGACAATTGAATATCATTCCTGGCGCCAAAATAACAGTTTTCATATTTCCCCATTGACTTATAGGTGAGGTCACGTGACCAACCTGACTTTATGTGACATTTAGGAAAAATCTGAGATATACAAGTTGTAAGACCTCTGAAGGACAATAAGTCCTGCAAGTCTCACCTCCCTGTGAAAGTTACCCTGGCACTGAGAGCGTTGCAAGGTTGCGACATCTGAGGATTGTGCAGAGGTTCATTTATGACGTCATAGGTCAGTGACCTGACCTGACTTGAAAGTGCGGTTGGTGTCACAAGATCCAGCGTGCATCAAAGGTACGGTATGCCAGGTTGCAGCTCTCTATTGCCTGGGTGGGTTGAGCTATCGCGAAAACACCCTTTGGGGCATTTACCACTTGTGCTCAAGTGCACCAAGCCACGGCCAACCCTTAGAAGAAAAAAGTTTCTGGATGCCAGGGCTGCAAGTGGCTGCAAATTTTCACTGGCTCCCCTAATAGATAGTGTCTTAGTGCATGCGATACAGCATTATTTTCAGTTCATCCTCGTAAAACTTTTTTTGCTGGGCTTGGTTAATTCAGTGAACGTAATGTTAAGTGGTAGAAAAAAATATATAAAAAGTTAACCTAATTATAAGACATTTTGAACTGATTTTGTCTACTTGTTTTCTATGGCGGAATCGTCTAAACACCTAAATTTCACTTTCCATGCATAATGGATGCTCAACACCTAGCAATTTCATCGTTCCGCAAAATGTTCAAAGGGCGTAAAAATCGGCTGTGATTATCCCCCTTATGAAGTGTTACGGAACGCTGTCGTTAACGATACTTTTGTCTACGAAAAAATGTCTCCTGAGCCATGCAAATGCACTAATCGTAATCTTTGATGAATTTTCTGTCGACTAGTATGCGTTGTTTTCCAATTTTCGGAAAAAGTGTCTTTGAGGTTTCGCGAGGCTAGACCGGCCCGATCGTGCAGTGGGGCGCGGGCTAACGGATATGGGCCACACAGGCAGGGGAAAGCAAAAAAAAAAAAAAGTTGAGTCAGACCATCTCATGCGTGAACTTTTGGCCCATGCCTCGGGGCAATGGTGGGCACTACTTAAGCTGGAAAAGGACCCTCGAGATTTTTCAATTTTTCCATTTTCTACAGATGATAATGCCGCTGGACTGCACCACACCTCAAAAGAAGGACACAACTTCAAAATACCGAGGCACTCAGGACAAAGGCAGCAAAACTCTTGTTGGCGATCGCGAAGAGAAACTTTTCACGGAGCTTTCATCAATGGAAAGACTAGTGCTAAGGTTAGTTCATATGCTCTAAGAGTGCGACTATGTAGAACCAGTGGCGGATCCAGGATTTTCACTGGGGAGGGGCTGCAGGTCATAATTGGGCGCCACGCCCCGGATGGGCGCCATAGTCGCATCGTATTGGCGCTGAAATATTGGCGCCCAGTGGCCCTGACAAGAGGCGCCCAGGATCAGTATGTACAGTGACACCACACGATTGGAAATATCGGTGCGGAGCGTACTGAAACGACGTTATTCGACTGATTTTTGCATCCTAGTCCTAGTATGCGGCACTCCGATGAGTTGCGAATTGAAAATTGGCGCCACTGCGCCTTCGGCGCAGTGGCGCCAGTTTTCCTTGGGTGGGGGCTGCTAGCCCCCGCAGCCCCCCCCCCCTGGATCCGCCACTGCACAGTGGCCCTTTTTCAGAATTAGCACGCATAAATTCAAAATATTTTTTTTCTTCTTTTGAGTAACAAGCAGTCTAATCGTGTGCAAAACATTCCAAACTATCCGATGGTGCCATTTTTACCTCCTAAAAAATAATTATCTTTGGTAAAACTGACCGCAAAATCGAAGTTTGTCGAGAGGCGCGCGGACACCACCGGCGGACCCTAAAAAGTAGGGTGAGATGAACATCAATTTGTAAGGCTTTCGGTGAGAAAATATTAAAAATTAGTGGCATGGCTGTGAAGCTGAGTTTACGTAGAAGCCCTAGAAACCACAATTTTCATTGTATAAACTTAAATAGACCACTTTTGCCGAATATTGTGGACACAATAACAGGACAATTATTAACTGGAGATGGCGGCATACATATGAAGCTTTATGTTAAGTAACACACTCTGGGACATATCGTATTATACATCGTTCGAATCGCCGATCTCTTCTGACCATGTCCACCAAAGGGCATCGCGCCATTTTGCGCCATTTTGCTTCTACGGTGAATAACGTGAGCCAGTTCAGTCCGCGAGCGGCTGTGGCTCCTATTCGATACGACTAAGCTCATTGACCTGGCTCGAAGCTGGTGTCACCTGGTGGGCGCCTAAATGTGGCTTGACTTTTGCCATAAGATGTGCTTATTGAAATGTCATATAGGCATAACGCTGTGCTCAAGAAAAACTGTCCGATTTCTTGTCGCGTTTGATGTCCAAGCCGCACAAGTCCCGTGGTCGGCTTAAGATCTAACGTCAAAAGCGCCTATGTGTTTGTATTGTTCGCGTCGCGCTGACCTTAGTTGCTGCCCGGCCGGGGCCGATTAACGGTGGCTGGCAACAGCTGCAGATGCGGTCACGTGACGCCCTGAGGCGTCCTGGCGGTCAGTGCAGCGCGGTCGGCTGGCGGGCTCGCCACACTTGCGTTCGGAGCGGCCTGGGCCGGCGGGCGAGCCGTGCGAACGTGCGCCAAATCTTGGGCCGAGCGGCCTGTCGCTGTTGGGCCGAATCTCCTTGGGCAGTTCGTTTCTTTTCTTGTCTTTGCATTGGCAGGGAATACGTCCTTGATCACGTGGTGATGTCTTGCACCACTTTCAGGTAATGTGGGAATTAATGCGTGCTAATTCTGAAAAAGGGCCACTGTGCACTGTGTAGAACCTCTGGGAGCAAAGGTTAACTGAGACTAAAGGTGGGCGCGTAAGACATGCTAATTATGCTTGTTCATTCGGGATGATAAGGTCCTAATGTAAGCGGCATTCGGTGAGCCTTTCACCCTCCCTGTGTAATGGCGTTCAGCCGTCTCGACATCTACTGGGCCGGCGGTGGCTCGTCGCCGTTGCTGTAGCCGCTCCCCTCGGTCATCCAGGTGTCGGTCCTCCAGGCCGGGTCGTACCGGGCCACCCGGATGGTCTTTGGCCCGCAGCAGCCGCCGATGCCGACCAGCGTGATGTCCGGAATCTGGTGTGGAGCCGTGGTCGTGTAGGTTGGACTGGCACCGTCGTTTTGGTGAATGGTGATGTCGCCACTGCTGTAGTGCACGGTGAACGTAATAAACTCCGAATCGCTGGTAATGGCGCCGGTTTTGAGGAACCCACTCTCTAGTTCAATATCGCCGTGGTAAATGAGCCCGATCCCGTCGTTGAACCAGCCACCGACAATTATGTCCATCACTAGGTGAGCGCTGCCCTGTAGTCGAACAATACAATCTCTCGCCGCTTTGCATTCGTACTTGACGGTGACCTCGTTTGTGGCGGCGATCCGGCGGAAGACGTAGCTGTAGGACGGAACAGTCATGACGGCGTCGGTGGCGGTACCGGCCTCCTGGAACAGCCACCCGTCGGCCACGCCCGAGTCCACCCTCATCCACGAGTCAGCGTGCTCGCTGCGCACCTTGAAGAAGTCGAGCGGCTGGCTGACGCTCGCGAAGGCTGAGGCCATCGTCGGGTTGGTGACGGGACCGATGGCCATGTTGCCTCCGCACCAGGAAATTTTCAGTTGGCTGTATGTGTCGCTGTTGACCATGCCGTTCGTACCAACTCCCATCAAAAGGTCGTGATCGGTTCCATCAATGTCCTTGTAGTACAGGTTTATGACCTCGCTTGTGAAGCGGAAGTACAGCCGTGTCCCATTATGCTCGTCCTTCCACGTGGTTACCAGTTGGACATCTGCTCCAGTACCGAGCTTCACGGAGACATCGAGGGAGCAGGTACCCGGCTTCAGCTTTTTCCAGGTCCACGTGAACCGGTCCATCCTCCAGAGCTGCCAGCGGGGCAGCATCAGGCCGGGTCGCACCTCCCAGAACTCGTCGGACTCGGATTGCTGGCAGGTGCTGTTCAAACAACGGTAAACCCCTGTGGGCTTCAGGTGGACGCTGCAGTGCGCGTCCACAGCGCAGAACTCACCGGCCACCTCCGCTGCACACTCTGCCGCGCAGTATCCCCCTTCCACACAGCTGGGGTCGTCCCAGAACGGCGTCTGGGTCTCGGCGGTCAGGTTCTGACGGTCGTCGTACACGTCGTAATAGTCGACGGCGACGTCGGCGACGAGCGGCAGGCCGTCGCAGGCGCGCTGACCGAGCAGCTGGCAGTTGATCCCATCGGAGATGGTGCCTGAGTTGAGCGCCACACAGCCGGCCAGTTCGCCGCACAGGGCCAGACACTGTGTGACAGAGACCGCCTGACGCTCCTCCAGGGGCTCGGTCAACAGCTTGAAACCTGACCGACGAGCGCCACTGGCGTACCTGGTCTCCATGCTGGCCATGATCGTCCCCAGTGTGATGAGGAGTAGGACGGGTATGGGCCGCGGCACCGCCGGAGACATGGCTGCTCACGGGCTGGGCTCCACGGCGCCTGTGGACGGACTTTCTGCTGCTACTGGACGGTGGTAAACAGGGCTGTCGATGTAGGCTGGCGTTGTGGGCGTGGCGACGCAACAGGCTCGCAAGTGGCCAACGGACGTATGGCTGCAGCCTGGCTGCCTGGCTACGTCAACTTCTAATTACCGGAGTTACGTTAGCAAAGCAAATATGCATTAGGAACGGATTCACAGCTTTTGCGAAAGGAGCGCATTACTGACTCATGTAGCCACCTGCTAATACGATTTGGCGATCCGAACTGGGGATACATTACTCATGAGCAAAGCAAATACGTATTACAAACGGTTCACCGCCAATGCGAAATAGCTGAGCGCATTGCTGACTCATATATGTACATAGCCACCTGCCAATACCTACGAATCAGCGAGCAGAACAAAATCCGTTAGAAAAGATGGAATTGGAGCGTGATACGTTAATACGTATTACAGGAACTATTATTTCCCAAATAGGAGCGGCAAAATGCAAAATAGCAGGCATTTTATCATTCGTTGTTTTTGGAAAATCGGTTACACTCGCTGGACCTATTGGTTTTCTACATACGCGATGGCCGAGGGGGTACGACCCCCTCGCCGTTTCGCCCCTGATAAAGCTAGAGCGTCGCGAAAAAAAACGAGCGTGTGCCGATACGAGACGCAATGATTGGTAGGGGAGGGTGGGGAAAGATGCCCAGGGGTTTGTAATGTCATTATTATTCAAAAAGACGACTGGAAAGCAAAAACTTGGTGTTCCAATGGATGCTGACATCATTTTTCTCCACAAAATATCACACTTTCGTGCTTGAACCATAATTACTTTTTTTGCTATTGGGCATTTTCCTCCGCACTATAAATGACATAAATGAGCACATGAATTGTCTGAACGAATCAGCTTCCCTCGAGTCTGCAGTAGGCACTTAAACGCCATCGTAAGGGCCCTCAAAAGTCGTGAGGGGCTTCGGAGGTCATCGTGAGGACCATCATAATCCAGCGCGGCCAAATAAGTCGCCGTGGTGGCGTTCGGAGACCATTGTGGGGCCTTTTAGGTCTTCATGAGGCTTGAGGGCCCTCAACACCATCGTGGGGACCTCAGATGCCAGCGCGGCCCGTGAAGCCAGCGTGGGAGCCCTCAAAGGATGTTGTGAGCAGGGACTGCGGATTCCGGGGGGGGGGGGAAATCCCGAGGGTGTGCAAATACCTATTTTGCACACCCACAGCTCGATGTGGGGGCCCATGCGGGCTGCTGAAGGCCATCACTGGCGCTTGAGTGTCCCAAGCCGATGTTCGAGGGCTCCAGCCCGAGCCTGATGGCCCTGCACCGGTGCCTGAAGGCCTAAACAGGTACCACTGTTATCTCAGAGGTTATCTCAGGGCCCCACGCAATTTTTGAGCGCTCCCACCGGTTTTTGAGGGCCCCAGGCCGATGCCCGAGGGCCCCAAGTCGATGTTTGAAGGCCCCACGCCAGTATCTGAGTACCTACATACACGGCACGCTCAGGGATCCACGCCAATTTCTGAGGGCCATAATCAGCTCTTGAGGGCCCCTGCCTCCTGCTCCCTTAACCCCCTCTTGGGGCCGATGCCTGAGGGCCCCGCATCGGTACCTGAAAGCCCGCACAGTTATCTCAGGGCCCCACCCCAGTTTCGGAAGGCCCTCACCGGCTCTTGAGGGGCCCCAGACCGATATCCAAGGGCCTCTGGCCAATGCCCGGGGGTCCCAGGCCGATGCCCGAGGGCCCCAAGCCGTTACCCGAGGGCCCACACAGCTATCTCAGGGAATAATGCCACTTTCCAAGGGCCCTAACCGGCTCTCGAGGGCCCCAGTCCGATGCCTGAGATCCCCAGGCTGATGTGAGAGGGCCGGCCGACGCAAGTAGGCAGCCCCTGAGGCGGCCCCTCAGTCAGTTTCTAAGGTCGTCCACGAACGCCGTCTGGTCAAAGCTGATCTCTAAGAGGGTCCTACGCAGGTTTTTAAGTGCACTCAGCTCCTATTTAGGATCTCACACCGGCCTCTAGAGATCGGATGGCTCATGCATACCGCGGAGGAGCCCTTGCTGGCTCCTGACCCTGAGGGACCCGTACCAGCTGAGGGCCCCATGCCGAGGAGAAAAAAAAAAAATCGACCCAGGATTGGGACATGGAAGAAAAAAAGATTTGCACCACCAAATGAAATTAAGATACATCACTCCCGTTATATTAGCACGCGCACCGACGGGGGGAGGGGGCGGATATCCGCCCTTGATGTTTTTCGCGAATAGCGCGGGAAAACCGCGGCGCGTAGTGGTACGACTATTCTCTCATCAATTTTACATACGGTGTGCAAGTTTGAACCTCCTAACTTTTAAGGTCAGGTCACCAGGTCACTTTGAATGACCCAACCTCAAGTCACTTTTTTGCAACTTTGTCACCGTGCCAGAGCTACAATAGATGTCGGAGGCCTTTGAAAGTCGCAGGATGTTATTAGGTTATTAGTAGTTACAATTTGTTTATCTCGATTTTGATATCGGTGACCTAAGGTCAGGTCAATTTCTCGACCTCCCCATTATAAGTCAATGGGGGAAAAATCAACTCCCTGTTTTTACCACTAAAACGGGTCGGAATGGCTCCATATACCATACATGACTTCATATACGATCAACCTTCACTACCTTGAGGTCTGTTTTGCTGTTGGGCAGCTGTAAGGTCATGTGACGTCATCAAAGGTCACCAAAGGTTTTTTTTGCCAATAACTCAGTGCAGGAACAAGATAAAGCCGCGCGGATGGTCTCATTGTGTTCAGCTCGTCAAGACGCATCGAATGCTATACATGATGACCTCGAGGTCACGTGACCTGAGGCCAACCTTTGACCTTGACCTTTCGAGGTCAACATATATTTCATTCGATGCGGATTGATGAGAGGATCACGATGATGCCCTTAGTTTGTTCCTATCTTGACTAATTCGAAAGTTATTCGAGAAAAACTCTCCATATCTAGCGCCGCCATTTTGACTTTTTGACTCCTGTGACGTCATCTTTGACCTAACCTGAAAATGACCTGTGTAAAAATTGTAGACCTTGTCCGTGCGTATCCGATGCCGTTTACCGCTTGTCGCTATCTTGCTTCGTTCTCGAGATCTCAGGGGGGGGGGGGCGGTCATCCGCCCCCCCCCCCCCTCCCCGTCGGTACTATAGATGGCGCAGACCCCCGTCGGTGCGCGTGTTAGTATTGCGTCTTTCATGAAACAATGTCGTTATGCTACGGCAAACAGCATGGCATTTGGCATACATAGGTGTAGGAACAGGGGGGGGGGGGCCGGGGGGCCGGTGGCCCCCCACTTTTCATAGTTGGGGGGGGGGGGCAGTAATGTTAACTGCCCCCCCCCACTTTTTGCCGAACATTAATGTATTTGTAGGTACCACCACGAAGAACAAACTTGACGGTTCTCCGGCCTGCCCTTCCATGACGATTTCCATTTGTGCTTCATCGTCATTGAGTGCAAATTTCCTCCACCCAATGAAAGGAAATTTTGTCAGAAGCAGTAAGTGGCAGCTTAGGGGCAGCGCGCGCTGCAAAGAGAGAATCTGACTGGCGCAGCAGGATGCGTAAAAGGCGTAAACTAACAATTTATGTTGGGCGGCCTTGCATTAGTTGATCGAATACTGGCATAGGCGTAGGAACAGGGGGCAGGGGGCCATGGTCCCCCACTTTCGAATGGGGGGGCCAGCAATGAACTGCCCCCC